TTTTCATTAAAGTTGCATAAATAATATGTATAAATTTAAAATTAAATGATTGTATAATCCATTCTTTTAGAATTGTATGTTTAGGTTAGTCCGTGTGGTTTTTGGGTTTGGGTACCTCAATTTCCAAGCCAAAATTAAATTATGAAAGTTGGTTACTGATACATAGTTTACATATGTGTAATAGAACTTCAATGCTTTAGGTTACTGATTTTCGTGCATGACTAATAAAGAACATTGAATTAAAATAATAATAATAATAATAGTATTTGTCTTGCTATTGTTTTATAGAAACAGCCAGTTGTGAAAGGATTACAAAGACTCATTATTATTATTATTTAAAAATTAATAAATACATAAAGTTTGTGTATTTATTTATTTTATTAAAGAGGTTTAAATTATTGTTATAAGTATTTGTCCAATGATTTGAAGATTCTGATTTTAATTTAAAATAAATTAAAATTAAAGTTATTGAATACATAAAATATATGTATTGATTTATTTATTTTAGGAATATGAATTTCTAGAATAATTTGTGAGTTTAGAAATTTAATCTAATAAATTAGACATGCAAATAACTTGTTTTGTACCCAAACATACATACATATTGTAGAATCAATTTTAAATTGATTCAATTATGATCTTTAAGTCCGAAAATAAAATAATATATTTTATTATGTATATAAAATAAAAAGATATTTTCTTTGAAATTTCGGACTATTAAGTTTTTGAGATCGAAGTTGCTTAAACTTTAATCGACAATTATGAGTATGTGTGTATAATGTTAAATGGGTAAATTAATAATTAATTAATTACTAGTTAATTTAATATTCATATTATGTGTGGGTTAGTACCAAAGTGGCCTAACCATAACGGTCGATGAATATTAATTTTAGTAGTAAATATAACTTATTGATGAATTAATTACTGTCTAATTTAATATTCATATTATGTGAAGATTGGTAGCTACTAAAGTATCCCAATCATAATGATTGATGAATATTAATTTTTGTAATAGACATAATTAATCATAAATTAGTTACTATCTAATTTAATATTCATATTATGTAAAGGTTGGTAGTTACCAAAGTGGCCTAACCATAATAGTTGATGAATATTAATTTTAGTAGTAAACATAATTGCAATATTTCATGAATTATGATACTTATAATTTTTTGTGATATTCATGAATATTGATTTTATTTAATTATGAAAAATAATTTCTCAAAGGGAATTGATTTTCAAGTGATTAAATAAAAATTAAAGGGTCGTATGTATGTATATATATATATTTAATTAGGTAAATATAGGATATCCAAAGGTAACTTATTTGTTTAATTAAATAATGCATCACCAATAAAGGTATACATATAAATACATGTAAGAATCATTATTAGTATTTTATAGTTGCCACCCAAAGGGGTACTATAATTATACATTGTATTTATATTTTTAAGTTATACATACGTGTTGTTAATTCAAAGCATTATTGTTGTTAAGATTTTATCTTATTATATTTATTTTATTACATTCCTTAATGCGCATACTACATCTGTTCTGATTCTCAATATGACTAACTTCTCATAATGAAATGAGTAAGTTGAGTTCAAAATTTAGATGTGTTAAATCTTAATTTAAGATTTTAAATTGAGAAACTTACTGTTATTACTGATAAAAACAGTGAGGAAGAAAAGATTCTCCATAAAGCTTGGGAGAGATCGAACAGATTAAGCATTATCCTTATGTGAATAATTGTTCCTCATAGTGATAGTGCTAAGGAATATTTGATTATAAGAATGTTTTCGTGTTATAGATAAATATCTAAAACGAAAATTATTAATTGATATAACTACTATGGATTTTTTGTTGGTACTCGTACAATGTATGATCGTATTTTAAGATGACTAATGTTGCTGCAAAATTGAGAACCTTATGGATGATTGTGAATGGGAATTTTCTTATTCAATTTATTCTCAATTTCTTGTCTATTCAGTATGGGTCATTTTGAATTAACACTATTAAGACAAGTGGAAAGTGATTTAATTGACCATTATGTTAATTTATGAGGAGACAAAACTTAAGTAGCAAGGTAATCATTATGTTTATCTGATGACTCAAGAAGTTAGAAAGAAATTTGGGAATAAGTCAGAAAAGGCAATAAGTGAGCAACACCCAAAATTAAAAGATTTAGGTCAATCTACTAAAAAAAAGTAATGTAATAATGAAAAAGTGTCATTAATATATTAAATACTTTTAAAAAGATTACATAACATATAAAGAATGATTCGAAAAAGAAAAGTACGCTTTTGGCTTTTGTATATTGCGAATTACTTGTTGAAATTCTTTTTAATACATGATAGGTTGACTTAAGTACTAATATTTATATTTCTAATAGATGCAAGAATTTTTTATGGCCTAAATCACAAATTCAAATAAGAATTTCTTATTTATGATAATTGAGAAAAAGTTTTGTTGAAATCATTGTGACACTATGTTTAATGTTAGACAATGGATTTTATTTAAATTATTTTAAAAATTTTATGTTTATTCAATTTCCCATAATTTGATTTTATTTCAAAAACTTTATGTTAATGGTTTTTCATTTAAATTTGGTAGTGATATATATTTAAGAAATTATAATTTGTGAGTTATGGTTCTATTGTTGATGATTTCTGTAAATTCAAATTTGATGGTTTATTTATTAAAATCTTTTTGATCTTGTATCATAATGTTAGAATTAAGCGTAACTCAATTAATAGAAAATTTATCTTTGGCATAAAAGACTATGTCAATATCTAGTGAAAGGTTAGAAAAATTAGTAAAGGATGTGATTCTTCTGAATCTAAACTTTACTGATTTTGATGTGTGTGTAGATTGTATTAAGGGTAGACAAATTAAACGCACAAAGAAATGAGCCATAATAAGTACATAACTTCTTGAAATTATTTGTAAACCTTCTGATATTCCATCTTTTGGAGGAGAAAAGTATTTTATCGCCTTTATAGTTGATTTTTCACATTATGGATATATCTATTTATTGTATGAAAAATCTCAAGCAGTGGGTACCCTTGAAGTATACATAAATGAGGTTGAAAAATAACTAGATAGAAAGTGAAAATCATAAGGTCATATAGAGGTGGTGAATATTATGTAAAGTATGATGAAATAGGTTAATACTCTAACCGTTTGTTAAACTCCTTGAAATGTATGCCATTTGTGTTCAATACACTTTGTTATACATGCCACAGTAGAAGCGTGTAGCTGTAAGGCGTAATCGTACTCTTATGGAATTGGTTAGAAGTATGTTAAGTAATTCCTCGTTACCCATAATGTTGTGGATATTAAGTAATCTAAAGGATACAAGTTTTACTATCCGAAACATAGTACGATAATTATTGAAACCGGTATTGTCAGATTCATTAAGAATGGTGAAATCAGTGGGAGTGATAAAAATAAGAATTTGATCATTTCAGAAGTTAGGGTACAAATATCTTTACCCATAACTTATAAGGAAATAAGTGTTACTTCAGTTGTTGAATCGTATAACAACGAAGAACAATTAAATGATCAACAACTCTATAATGAGATTGTCACCAATGAATAGATTGTAGAAGAATAATAAGGAATAACATTAAGACAATCTCAAAGAGAAAGGAGATCTGCTATTCCGGATGACTATGTGATATATCTGTAAGAATCTAATTTTGATATATAGTGAGATATATACGGATCTGGTTACATATTCACAAGCCATTAACAGTAATGATTTTATTAAATGGATTAGTGTCATGAATGAAGAGATTATAAAGAAACATTCTCTCTAGTATTTAAGAAGGAATCTTTTAAAATATCATGACATTAGTAGCTTATTGTGATTTAGAGTTACATCAAATGGATGTGAATACAATTTTTATGAATAGGAGTTTATAAAAGGAAGTCCATATGGAACAACTTGAAGACTTCATATTAGAGGGTAAAGAATTCAAGGTTCGTAAACTTAAGATGTCAATATATGGATTTAAACAAGCTTCCTAACAATGGTATATTAAGTTTAATTATACCATTATTTCTTTTGGTTTTAAGAAAAATACTGTCGATCAGTGTATATACTAGAAAGTTAGTGGGAGTAATTTTATATTTCTGATTCTATATATTGATGATATTTTATTTGTTAGTAGTGATTTTAGTTTATTATATGAAACTAAAAGTTATCTCTAAGAACTTTGAAATGAAATATATGGATGAGGCATCCTATGTGATAGGAATAGAAATATTTCATTATAGATCACATTGATTTGTTTTTAGAATTGTCTCATAAAGCATATATTAAAAGAGTTCTAGAAGATTTGGTTGGAGGAACAATATTATGAAAAAGTGCAAAGTAATTTATGATTACTTTGTCTATTATGAAATTTTAATTTGTAGCATGCTTTGAGGCTATAATTTATGGTTGCAGAATTTATTTCAGGACTTGGAGTTATGTGTACCGTTTTCAGATTGCTGAAAATTTATGCTGCAATTGTTGATCTTCTTATATGAAAAATGATAGGTATTCTAAAGTTGAAATACTTTATCATTAAAGAAGATATTTAGAAACAACGAATGTGTATTGAAATTATAAACATACAACTTATGATTACAATCCATTAATGAATGGATTACCATCCAAGACATTTGTAGAACATGTTGAAAGAATGGGTCTTAAATGTAGTCAATGATGATTATTTTTTAATTGTGGATTGCTTAAATAGTGCTTATATATATTTGACATTTTGGGCTGATTAAATGTGTTTCTGATATTTCCTATTAATTAATGTACATGTACGTATTACTTTAATAAGTGGTAATAGGAATAGTCTTGGAAAAGACATTCACTACAACAAAAGTGACCTTTTGTGATAAAAATTTTATTGACAAAATCAATTTCGTTGGTACAGGTAGCTCTTTAGTGCCGCACAAAATTTTGGTCACAAAAAGAGTATGCTTTAGTGACCAACTATAATGTTGGTCACCAATTGTTTGGCGGAAAAAGAAATCAAGCTCCTGCGGTTTCGGCAATGGTGCCTGTGACACCGTTTTGGTATGTATTAGTGACCAAATTTATTTGGTCCCTATCTCATTCGTTATCCTTGCATCATATGTCTCTATACATCTCGTCTTAACCCATGAAACTAGCACGAACCCGTACAGCCTAATGACCCCAACCTCCCAAATTTCCCCTATTTCCCCACTGTGCGCCCAATTCTCACACGATTTTTAAACGTGAATGCCAATAGAAAGAGAGAGAGAATATCTGCTACCAATTAGCACCGTCGTCGGCAGTGCATCTGGACCATATCTCTTTGTCACCGATGAAAACATTATCGTCACCACCACAATAAACATAAAGGTATGGAATTTTTGTGTTGTGGAATATTTAGAGCATCTAATGGAACTTAGAAATTAGGGCTTTGGGTTATATATTTTTTCAAAGCGATCAATTTCTCTCAAACCCTAACTATTGGGTTATATAGATTTTCCAAACAAGCACATTCTCTCAAACCCTAACTTTCTCTTTTTCAACAGATCTTTCAATAACCCTTATCTTGGGTCTTCGATCAACAGTTAGAGATACTGAGTTTTTTTTTTTTTTTGGTGCAATTATTTGTTTCTCCTTCTGGTGTCATATATTGAGTCTGTGATGATGTATTATTATTTTTAATTGACATTTTTTGTTTTTTATTAGTGATACATTAGAAATAGAAGCTGTTATTTTTTAATTCTCAAATACACTCGTTCTTTGACGGTCAGAATTGTGAATTTTTTTGTGTGTGAAATTGACTGAGCTTCACTTCTCTCTTTTTCAGCAGACCTTTCAATAACCCTTATCTTGGGTCTTCGATCAACAGTTAGAGATACTAAGTTTTTTTTTTTTTTTTTTTTTTTGGTGCAGTTATTTGTTTCTCCTTCTGGTGTCATATATTGAGTCTGTGATGATGTATTATTATTTTTAATTGACATTTTTTGTTTTTGATTAGTGATACATTAGAAATAGAAGCTGTTATTTTTTAATTCTCAAATACACTCATTCTTTGACTGTCAGAACTGTGAATTTTTTTTGTGTGTGAAATTGACAGAGCTTCACTTCTCACATTGTGATACATAGCAATAGAAGCTTTTACTTTCTAAATGCTCAAGTATACTAGTTATTTGACTGGGTCTATTTTTTTAGAGCATTAATTTAAATATATTTCTACAACAAAATTATTTGCATTTCATGGAAATTTAAGAACCTTGTTTGATTAGGATACTATATTATCTTGACCAATTCTTCATTTTCCTTGGGGTTATTAGACTAAGTTTGGTGTGTTTCTATTCCTTCCTCTTCCTTTTCCTCAAATTTTTGCACTTTTATAAAAGGTAGCTCTCTGCTCTTCTTTCTTTTTTACTCATAAAGTAAGTCTATTACAAAATTTAATAACAAGAATTCCCATGTCAACCCAATAGTCTATTACAAAATTTAATAGTTTTGTATACTTTTTGTCTAGAACTTGCTGAAAATATTTACCCTTGAATATTCTCTTTAATGGGGCAGCCTCATATTTCCCTTATATATTTGAGATTTTGAGTCTATGGGTGCCCTTGACATTTTTTTCAACAATTCTCTCTTTTAATAGTTAATTGATGTTGATTATTTGGGCAATGTTACCAGTCGTACAACCACCACCATTTGAATTTACATGATCCACCACAATAGAGTCACGATTTTAAGTCTCTTGTCTTGTATATATTTAATTTGTACCACTTGGTAAAGACACTAACATTGTTCTTGTACTTATCTTGTTATTAGTTTTGTAGGCTTGATTATTCTTAAAATTAGTCGAGGTACATTTACTGATCATTGACTAGGATATTTGACAAGAAAGTCTAAAGTTGGGTTATGTTGTTGCCATTTCTATTACCTTTTCTTTTAACCATATTTGTTTTTGTTGGGTTAGTTCTGTTCGTTTAAGGTTTAGTCATATCTTTAACTTCTTTTTATTTTAATAACAATGCATTTTACTAATTTAAAACTTTTGAACTTTTAAATTCTTTGTTGCATTTCATAAAATCTCTCATTTAGTTGGTGATTATTTTTTCTTACTTCGCATTGTTTATAACATTCACAAATGTAGATGAACATGAGCTGGAGATTAAAGATTTTATTGAGGTGGCTAAGGCCCAAAAGAAGAAAACTTTATTCTCGGTGATGACACTTCAAATGAAGAAGATACATCCAATGATGGTTGCTCAGATGAAGAAGATATTATGTTCTATGATGAAGTTTCAATCCAGTTTTTGTAATCCTCTCTCTTTGATCAATGTTTTTTTTACTAAGGATACACTATTTATTTTGTAGGTAGAGATTTATCCAACTTACCACTTTTGGTGGTTAGATGAGGCAAATGAAGGCAAGCTTGCATTCTATTAACTTCTACCATCATTGCAGCAAATGTTGGCTTTAGAGCATTCCCTCTTATCTTAAGTTAATCAGTAACAATCAACTTGGTATATATGCTGAAACTTCTGGAGTGTTTGTTGATGAGATGGCCTCAGGCAAATGAAGGTAAGCTTCCATTCGAAGGATTTGTGTTTTAATCTACATATAGTTGTTTCCAATGTCGTCAATTGTCTGGATTGTTTTGCTCAATGTTTCTCCTATTCTTCTTCCTTTTTACTTTCCTGATTTTCAAAATTTGCTAAAGAAAAGGAAATGAATTCTAATTGGACTATTCAGCCTAATTACTTTTTGTGCATTCAGTGTAGCTTTTTTGCTGCTTTTTTATGGAGTGAGATTTCCACTTTGGAGTTGGATGATGTTGTTTCCAATGTCATTTATATTTCGTACTAAATTCAATAGCTTTGTTTATCTAAGGAGAAAGGTAATTCAAATTTCGTCATTGGTTCGTGATTATGCTCTTTTTGTTACTGTCATATATATATATATATATATATATTTGTTTCAATGAAATCTATAATTGGAACATTCCCCTTTTTTTTTTTCGTTTTCTCAACTTACAAATTAATTTTCTATAACCTTGTTCTAATGGCTTTGTTCTTTTTGAATGCAGAGCAATTGATTGGGAGGACATGAAAAAAATAAACTACTCATGGAAGTGACAAAGTAAAGTGATGAGATTAGTGCCCCCATAAGTAGGGACTTGGAATATTGCTTTTATGTTTTAGTTTGGTTATTTTGTGTTGCACAATTGAAATTTTATGTTGTATTAGAATCGAACAATTGAGGGTAGAAATTTGATCAAATTATGTGTAAGTTTGTATTTGAACTCGAATTATTATGTACTTCTTAATGAAATTTAATGTAATGTTTAAATTTGTTATGCCTTTTGTACTCTGAAATGTGTATGGTTGAATGTATAAATTTAATTAATGTCAATCAGTTTTTTTAACAATGGCAATGAGTAACAAAATATATTTTTCACTATTAATAAAATTATGTTTCTTTGTACCTACTTAGTGAGGAAAACTGTTGGTCACTGTTTAAATTAGCAACGAAAATATTTGTCATTAATGCTAAAGAAAATGCAACGAAAAATTTCGTCGCTAAAATTCAAGTAGCACTGACGAATAAATTTTCTTCACTAAAACTCAATCAATAGTGACGAAATTTTGATTCATCACTATAAATCAACTGAGACGTTTATATAGCAACAAACTAGTGACGAAAGTTTTTTCGTCGCTAAATACTTTTAATGACAAAAATTTAACTTTTTGTGACGAAAAAAATCGTCACTAAAGATCACTTTTGTTGTAGTGATTATTGTTAGATCATTATTAATACTTCTCATTTATAGACTATGTTGAATAAATTACTAGTGTTGTGATACATGGAAGGGACTGTGTCATTTAAGGATATATAACCACCATGACTCGCATTGGTAATTTATTTACCATGGTATTTATGATGACCAATTTAATGAGTTAATCTGATTGATGGTGTACATTAATGACTATTTTACTAAACCACTACAGAAATTATCATATGTGCCAAATGGGATAATGTAAGATTATTTATTTAATTGTGGCCCACATGATTTGGACATGTGACATATTACTTGGTAGGTAAGTAAATAGATATCAATTAATATTATTTATTTTTGGTCAACTTATAATTACCTTTTTGGTAATTACTTATTGGAGAAGTGTTTTCTTTTCTTATTCCTTATTTTGATGGAAAGTAGAATTATGTTACTATAAGGAAAACTGGTCATCTCTCTGCCTTTATAAAAGTGCATATACTCCATCAATTATGTACAATTAATGAAACAACACGTAAAAGTTTTATGTGTGCAAAAGGCTAAGAGAGAGAAACCAGTTTTCACCTTTACCTGTTGATCAGAGTTGCAGATTAGTTCGTGGCCAAAAGATCTGGACGTTGGACTTAATCTCAACAAGAATTGATATTGTGAATTGAGGTATTTATATCTAACTAGTATTTATTTATGCATTATAGATATGTGAAAATCATGAAGTTCTAAAATATGGGATTCATGTAAATTTGTGATTAATGGCTTAACACGAATTATTATAGTTTACATGACATATAGTCTGCCGTTTTTTGACCACTCAATTTTAGAGGAGAGAGAAATAATATTGCGGCTCCAATACTTTAGAGTGATAGAAATAATATTGTTGTTTTTTTTTTTTTTTTTTTTTTTTTTTTTTTTTTTTTAACTTTAAAATCATATATACAAACTTATTAAAAGCAATATATATATATATATAGTAGAAAATACCAAGACAAAAAAATTTGGGCAATCTCAAAAATCCACAGTTAAAATGCATTAGCAGCATCACAAGTGAAGTGGGAAACAAGGTCGCCAAAACCATCCACCAATTTGGACCACATTATCAAGAAAGACTATGTCTATATTTAAATCTCATTTTAAATTAAAAATAGTCTTTTTTTTTTTAACTGAAAATGATTTTTTCACTCTCAATTAATTAATTTACCTCACCCTTTAATAAAGCTGCCTTTTCTCCCCCATTAATACCATTGCTGATAATAATATAACAAACCATCATATACTGCAATGAATTAGAAAAAATTCAGACAAATTTTTTTTTTTTTTTTTGATAAAACCCATCTGCTCTTGTAATCCATTGACAAGGTTGAAAGTTTGAGTTTCATTAGAGACAATTATTCTTCTGGATTAAGAATAATTGAAAGAAATGCTTTCAATTTAAATTGTACCATTAGACATACAATAATATTATACAAATCATGAAAAGATAATTCTTGCTAAGCATTTGAATGATCATTCACTAATTTGTGCTACTTCCTCTACTTACAGAGTTGAATAAATTCCTCTGCAACCCCATCCATCTCTTCCTCTCCATTCGGACTTATATGCTCACTCATTTCTCTTGCTTTACTCCTTATATTTTCTCCATTTTTCTCCACCACCACTTTTCTTACGACTTTTGCTATCTCTTCCCTTTCAAGCGTTTCATTAGTACTCTCTCTCTTGACCTCCACACCCATACCAATCTCCTCCACAAGCCTAGCATTCAGTTGCTGGTCAAATTGCATTGGCATGCCAATGATTGGAACACCAAACTTCATGCTCTCCATTATAGAACTCCATCCACAGTGACTCACAAACCCACCAGTGCTTGAATGACCTAGAATCTTTGCTTGTGGAGCCTGTTGGGATTTATATGCCCTGGCATAGCAAATTCCTGTTTGGATTAAAATGAAATATGTTCCTGACGTTTATGAAATATTTATGTTTTATACAATTGGTGAATTCAATGTATTATATTTCGATTCATTATAGAATTGATAGTGTCCATTTGATTATAAGAGATATTTATATATATGTTTGTGATGGCAATCAATGCATGATATATAAATAGTAATCATAAATGGTTCATAGTCGGTAATTATGGATGAACTCATAATTAATTAAGATTTGAACTGGATCCACGTTAGGTTGAGATATATTGCGAGAGCCGTTGTATGCAATTGCTCCCTATCACCGTCATGGCATTTGACTCTTAAGTATGAGAAAATTATAGACTCTTTTATTAATTAATAATTACTTTGATTTGTTCGGGGGATTCTTCGGGATCCTTAGACCGACACTTTGAGTAGTTATGTAATTAATAGTTAGAGGGTTATATTTTCAATATTTGCATCATTGCTACTTGTATTTATTTTGTATTGATTATGTTTAATCACAAAGTAAATTCGAAGGCCTTCGTGTATTTTTAGACAAAATGATTTATTATATATTTATTTATTTAAATTATTATTTTTGTCAAACAAATGTTTTATTGTGATCGAGCCAGAAATAATCAAAGGTACCAAAATAGATATATTAATTAAGTAGTCGGATTGATGGCTTTATTTATCCGATAACTAATTATGCATAGAGGGGTCAAAGTGCATTATTGACTTAGAGGTTATTTATTATTTAATTGGAGTTCAATTAATTTCTTTTAGTGGAGTAGAAATTGATTTATGAATTAATTGAATTGGGTCCATGGACCGGGCCAATTATTAATTCATTGTAGCCAATAAAATAATAGGCCCAATGGGATCTCACTCATAGCTCAACTTGATATTGGAATCATATTAGATTTGAGACATATGAATTAGAGATGGAGAAGGATTTGTTGTTTCCTTTTCTTTATTTTTATGTTGCCTATAAATATACATGGTCTATGTATATTTTAGGGTGTGATTTTTATGAGAAGGAAAAAAGGAATATTTTTTCTCTCTCTAGAAAATTAGGGTTTATGTTCTCATCTAATGGAGGCTCCCACAAGCCTAGTTTTCCGAGGTAATTCATGGAGGCTTATGAATGATTCCTAAAGGCAAAATAATTACCAAGAAGATGGAGATCCAAGGAGAAGGCATCTTGCTAAGGGATCTACAATAAGTGAGAACATTCACTTTAGAGGAAAATTTTAAAGGTTTACTCAGACCTTTGATGTAAGTATTCAATCCATTAATTGAATGATACATCATATTTTTATTTTTGCATAAAACTTGTCTCTATGTGATGAATCAAGATCTATGAATCAAAATCCATCGAAAAGTTTTTAAAACTTGCACGTTTCCTAACAGTGGTATCAGAGCATGGTTTGATTCATTACTAGAGATCATGATTTTATGAAAATCATCATTCATGGATCCAAAATTATATTCATATATATTTTTATTGATGTATGATTTAATATGTTGATATATATTGATACATGATGATGTATGAATAATTGTGAATGAATGATGATGTATGGTTGGGCCATGGATGAAGCTTATAGGTTAAATTAATGTAATTTTATCTTTGGATGAATGTAATTAAGGCTTTGATTTAGCCGTTTGAAAGTTCAATGATGTAATTTATTTTTTCCATTGTATTTCAAGTTGTAAATATTTTTAAAGCCATGTAATATTCATCAAAGGGTGCTATGAAGTTTCAAGAAGGTCCAAAAGGGTTAAATTATGCTTCAGTAATTTTTCTGGAATTTTTTGAAATTTTTCTGGAATTTTTTGAGGCTTAATTTAATTTTCTGGGAATTTTTCTGATATTTTTCGGCGTTTTTCCGGTGGCCGGAGCATCGCCGGCGGCGAGAAGAGAGGTCGGAGGAGGCTAGAATCAGGTGCAGCTCTATGGTGGTGAGCCTGGCGCGTGAGGAGCACGTGCCAAGAGCTAGAGGCATTGAAGACATGCTGACGCGTGGGTCTCACGCGCCAGCCAAATCCACCTTCCCTCCACGCGCTTGCAGGCGCGTGGAGGTGCGCCCCATGCGTGTGCCAGCGCGTGGGGGCACGTCCCACGCGCCCCAGGCCCGTGCCTTCACCTGCAGCATGCCCCAGGCGCGTGTGAGCGCGTATGGGGCCCTCCAAGCGCGTTCCAAGCGGTGTTTTGCTTCTCTCGGTGTGTACCAGCCTTATGTGGGTGTTTGCAAGCCGATGGATGATCCTCGCGCTATACTTAGAGCAATTAAATGTTAAAAGCTAAATCCATTGGCCATTTAATTTGCTTTATCTGTCATTTATTGTTGTATGTGATGCATGAAATAATTAATTGTTAATTATTATTGTTCATGCATTGGATCCATGATACTTATTTAAATGGCTTGATTTATATTAGTTAAATTATGAAAATTAATTGGATTTGATTACTAATTAATTAGAGGGCACTTATTGGGAAACGAAAAATTATTTTTATAAATTATTTTTGAAGTGTGCCTCAAATTAAATATTAGTGAATTATTTAAGTCCAAATGTTTTCTAAATTTAATTGGATTAAAATCAAGACGTTTTGCATGCATCATATCATGTATTTGAATAAAATGAAAACCCTAA